CAGGAAAGTGCATCTCACAATATTTAACTTTTAAACAAAATTCATGAACAATTTGCATGTATCTGGAGGCATGTTGCTTTAAAAGCGTTTGTTAATGCAAGAATATGCATGTTGTTTTTTAAATGTTGGCAGACTACAATATCGGGGTGTGAGTGCATCAGTAAATACTGCTTCGCATGCATATATGTAGTTAATTTCCATTCAATGAATATATATCTGTTAACAAAATGATAGTTTCTTTGAAAATCAGCTGGATATCTGCTGTACGTACTATCTAAAAAATATAATTACACAAAAAATCAGCACTTTAACCGTATATTACATAACGAAAGTCAACGTTGTTTTGGATAATCTATCGGAGGTCAAAACTGCTTGTTAATTAATTAATTAATTAATTAGTTAAAATAACAAGCTAAAATGACAAATGAGATCAATTCATCAATACACAATTTATTATTTTAGCGATTATTCACAGACGTGATACGCTCAATCCAGGATCAAAGTTTGAAAAAGAAGCAATATAAAAACAAAAAAAACTAACGGCATTTTTAATTTGGTTTGGATGGTACCAGATTTCACCTTGATTGTCACATTTTCCATGTGTATTCTCTCCGGATCACCGGCTACCAACACTTCAGATTGACCATCTGTCTAGATTAACATAATTATATTTTATTGATTCATATCCGACTTGCACTTTAATTTTTGATCAGTTTTTTTTATATATCAACTAATATCAAATGTTAAATTGCCGCAACGAGATTTGTTAATTAAATGTGCAAGAAGCGTGACGGAATGGCACCGGACTAGTAATCTAAGGATTGTATTAGCAATTTATGGATTTCTGGCCGCGTTGGTTCAAACCCCGTCAGGGGCAAGTCGTTGTTTCCTTGAGCAAGAATCTTTACGCATTGCTTGGTTTACTGCTTGGTTTCAGCAACGATTTCGAGAGTATTTCAATAAGCTAATAGCTTCTGGAACACAATCGAACTAAAAGATATTGGTAAATACTAAGTGAATACATACGGAATCTACAATTATCTGATAAACGGGCATTCCCTCTAATTCAATCTATCAGCATCTTAAATAGTTTAACACGATGTTTTTAATCCATTCATTGTTAAAGATTTTTCTAAACCACTCAGCGTCGACGGACTTAAAGACAGACATGGATAGCAAAATCCCAAGTATATTATATCCATCGAAGGGTGATAAATGTTTGTGACATTCAATGTATAGACTTACTGGTTCAAGATTCCTACAATGTTGCATGAGATCACTTAGTCTGTCTGCAAACCCAGGCGCAAACGCTTCCGGGTCTACTGCAACAAAGCACTGGCCCTGAAAACGAGAGTATCATTTTTGTATCAACACGGCTATAGAAGACAGTTTGTGGTGTGATATGTCATAAAGGGCCCGTACTCTCAGTGCCCAAAGGGCTAGATGGACCCTTAAATACATACGCAGAAATGTCAAAAAATGAAATGTTTTCACTTTGAACACCGACGGTATTTCATCTGCATCGCTTTATATCATGTATAATATGATTGTATAGAACTAATATGCTTACAACTTTGTGATAAATTGTTCAACTCTTAGAGTGCGTATAGCATATTTCATCACATTGTTAAAAAATAAACGTTTAATAAGTAAAAATCAAACAAAACAAAAATGGAAAATCCAGAATTTTTAACAATAAACTATGAAGATTACATAGGAAGCAGGGGCATTCAACTTGACAACGAAAAAGAAAGAAGCACAATGTCACTCCAAAGCTGCGTCCCCACTTGAATTCACTTTGAAAATTGAAAGAAGCGAGAATATTAAAGAAGTCTTTAAACGGAACATCGTTCACAATAATTTCGTTATTTTTACGATACAAAACTGTGATGTAGTGATCAGGGGAAGTAACTGCTTCGGGGAGTTTGCAAAACGCCTAGCTTGAGTCACTTCCCCTAATCAGTTTAGACTGTGTCAATATCACGTGTTTTTTTTAACGGAACACGCGCATCTTTTCATTTGCTCACTTTGACGAGATGAAACACAGCGTTTTATAGTAAATAAGTGTACAAGCAATCCATGATATATCAGAAAGGTTTTTTATCAGACCAAGTGAGTATGTTGTTATTTCTTATAACCGGTGTCACACTCGTTCATCAAAACAAGCAATTTATAGCAAATCTTCTGTTTCATTTCTCACGGTTGTTTTTATGGTTAAAATGTAATAGATTTACAATTTATATCACACTAATACATTGCTGTGTTGAAGTAATAGGAAAAGCATCGAAACACGAGGCTATCTGATTTGTACGAACGGGCGTAGCCCATGATTATTAATCAGATTGCCGAGGGTTTTGATGTTCTTTCTTTTTTGTGTCATAGTCAAACATAAAAAAAACGTTCCCTGTTGTCGCAATATGAAACCGCGGGAAAAAGTAACCAATAGACGAGCATCTAAATATGATATTTCTGTCGCTTTCCCTTTCTCTGCCGAAACAATAAGTAAACCCGAGCAAAAATGAACCAATCAATGGGCATGCTCTGGAGTGCGGGTACTCCAGTTAACGCACTGTGCATGTATATGTATACGATTTAACTCTGAAACATTTTCAACAGAAACGTCACCAAACTATGATACAATTACAATTATATAGTTCGGGCGAAATGGATACGGTACATCCCTTTTTCAAAAGTTTTAATCATATGTAATATTTTGTTTCAAAGTGTATCTAATAATTTCTTTTCTCATTTGTTCGCAAAAATTACCTTTAAGCAAATATTAGACTATTTTTCCATTTCGTATATTGTTGTTCTGATATTGTAATGTATGTATGATTAGATGAAAGAAACCTTTTTTACTTTAGTCCATTATTATGAATGAATCAGATTTCTTTTTAAATGTTCAATGTAATAATTTGAAATTTAAATCAACTAGCATTTCCTGAAAGAGTTGGGTCGCTATAGAGAAATACATGGAGTTTAATGTTGTCGACTATCAAGTTTTGTAGTTTTATACAACGGACAACAAATAAGAAAGTAAAGGTAGGTTTAATTTGACAATAATGATATAAAGGGATAGGAGAAAAATACACTTAATAACAAAAATATTGTGCTTAAGAAAGCTGCAATAAGTTCGATCACGGATTTATATTACATATATATAATATAAATCCGTTGTTCAATAGACGTGTGTGATTTATTAGAATGATCTGCCTTTTACGACTTCTAGCATAAGTGTCAATCGCATATTTTCAGTCCTTCTCGTAAGTCTTCGGATAATTACTGATAAAAGCCGAGATGCTCCGATTGCATAAGTGTACTCAATTTCAACTTCTCGGCTATTATTTATAATTCTTATCCGAAATTTGATGGAAATTGCCGAGAATTTGCGATTGAAAATTTACTTTGTTCTACTAGTTGGCGTTTGATTCTTTTTTTATGAAGAAGTTATTTTTAAAGCACAACACATGTATATCATCTGTAATTGAAATAATAAAGCAATAACACATAATTAAAATGTTTTGACAGTGTGTCCGTTTGACGGTGATCCAAAAGTTGCGTTCAGCCTTCTACAACGAATTCATAGGTTCAATTTGTAATGACGCAGCTATATCATTCTGAAATGAATAAAACTGTTATTATATCGAGTGCATATGTTGTTTCAAACTTATTTTATTTAACTTGTTATTTGTAGAACCATTATTCTGTAGTATTGTTTTAATTACAGAAGCTTCTAGATACCAGTGTAGGTAACTGTGTTCAACGTTAAAGGGACTCCGCAGAAGTGTTCACTCAAATTGGGGTAAGAATAGCATTGAAACACGATTCTTCAATTTATTTCTGTTTATATTTCAAAATTTTCTTTTGCATTTCTTTCTGTTTTAAGTGTTCCAGCTGCTCTATAAGAGAAATTCAAATTTGATGTTCAATGCTTTTTGACCCCAGTCGAGTTCCTTTAAGTAACAAATAAGTAAGATTTGCTCCAAGATATGGTTACTGCCTTCTTTTAAAAGAAGTAAAATGTGCAGAAGGTCAAGTTTAAAAGAGTCCGGAAAAATAAGAGCTTATAATGTTTGTGAAAGCTTATAACGGCAGGCTTATGCTTGTAAACCATTCTCGGTAGAATAACCCAGATTGTTCTTGTACGTACAACCCTCAATTCGGGAACAAAGTGGAAAAAAACACAAACTTACGACATTTTTAATTTGGTTTGGATGGTACCAGATTCCACCTTGATTGTCACATTTTTCCATGTGTATTTTCTCTGAATCACCGGCTACCAACACCTCTGATTGACCATCTGCCTAGTAGATTAAATTATGTATTATTGATTCATATCAGACCAGCATTTATCTATTTGACAAAAAATATCGATGTTTGTATGAAAACAATCCTCGCTAACTGTATGGAACAATGCTTGATGAACGAGCATTCCCTATTTCAACCAGTCAGCAACTTAAATTTTAGTCTGTTCTCTGTTAAACAAAGCACTAAGTTTGTAACTACAGTAACTGTTGTTCTGCAAAGCAGTGGGATGAGATGTTTATTTTATTTTACCCAAAAAAGTCAATATTAAAGAAAAATAATTAAAGCTGAAACAAGACATTTGGAGTGAGGGCTATTCGGTTGTCAGCGGTTCGAAAATTGTTACACTCTGATGTGATATACAGCTGTATATAAAATGCGTGAGGTAAAATAAATGTCTTTGACACTCAATGTAGAGACTTACTGTCTCGAAATTCCTAAAATGTTGCCTGAGATCACTTAGTCACTTAGTCTGTCTGCAAACCCAGGTGCAAACGCTTCTGGATCTGCTGCAACAAAGCACTGGCCCTGAATTGAGAATTTGACCTTTGTATCAACACGGCAAGGACAGACACCGTGTGGTGTGATATGTCGAAGCCAAAATAACGATTGATGATTTCGTTGGAAGGCTTATAAATGATGGTTGGAATTTGGAGTATCTGTTTCAATATTAAATATATCTTTAAAATAAAACATCGGTATAGTAAAACAATCAAAGTTAATGAATACTTGTATTTTAACTTGCTTCGAGCGATGTTTGCTGTTGTTTTAGAATAATCAGACATTAAGTACATGTTATAGCTCATTTAAATTTTAAGTTTTAATCTAATAACCCAAAGACCGGATAAGGTTTGTGTGCCAAGTTTGCTTGTCTATGAAATTCCTTCCATTTCCGGACATGGTGAGCGTAATTTGCACTACTGAGTATTCCACATTAAGTCGCTACCATCATTGACAAGCCATAGCCCTTGTACCTGGCATAAAACAAATAAAATACACTGTCATTTGTACTGTGTATTTAATAAAAAAGTTCAAGAATGTAGAAATAAAAATTTATTCATATTTTCGACAAAAGCATACTTTCATGTTACAACCTTCATCGTGGTGAAACATAGCAGGGTCTCCAGCTTCAACGGAATTCCAATCGTTGGTGACCCGTGATTAGCTCAAAAGGTAGATCGTAGGACCGTGAATCGGATGACCCGGAATCCATTCTCGGATGTTGTAGGTCACTGTCGTTGTTACTATCCCCCCCCCCCCCTTCGAAGAAGAGAGGGTATATTGTTTTGCGAATGTCGGTCTGTCTGTCGGTCTGTCCGTCGGTAGACTACATGGTTTCCGCTGATTATTTTGAAAATTATTTATCACAAAGTCTTCATATTTCACATTGTGATTGTTCATAACTAGAAAATTACCCCTATTGATATTGGGGTCACTAGGTCAAAGGTCAAGGTCACAGGGGCCTTAAATGTCTGCATAGTTTTCGCTGATAATCTTGAAAAGTATTCATCACAAAGTCAACATATTTCACATAATGATTGACCATATTTAGTAGATGTCCCCTATTGTTTTTGGGGTCACTAGGTCAAAGGTCAAGGTCTCAGGGGCCTTAAATATAAGAATTATTTCCTTTCATTATCTTGGCTACAATTTATCACAAAGTCTTCATATTTCACATATTAATTGGTAATAACTAGTAGATGACCCCTATTGAGTGTGGCAAAGAGTCGAGATTCTTTGATTTGTTGAAATTTGTTGAAGAAAGATCACGTGTTGCTTGTTCGGTATATGGTATTGATATTGTTAAAGAAAATGCACCATCCCAAGTAAGAAAACAGCCCCATAGTCTGCCTAGCAATTTTGTTAAAGGCAAAATAACTTCCTTGTCGTCATATACTGAAAGTGATAAACACAAGAACGAAAGAAAATGTTATTGCTGCTCTGGTTCATGCTTAGACTTAGCATTATGTCATAGATTTAAGAAAATGACGTCAACAGATAGAAAGAAATATGTTGTTAAGAACAGATTATGTTTCAATTGTCTTAAACGCAATCACATGTCTAGTGAATGTAGGAAAGAGAAATCATGTACTATACCTAATTGTAGCAGCAAACATCACACATTATTACATAGCTGGTTCCCGGTAGGTTCTGATAAGACTGTAACGCAACTTTCAATTAATTGTACGGCCACAAATGGCTCATTTTCTAAAACATGTTTGGGGATTATACCTGTAACTGTTAAGGGTAGGGACAGTTACTTCTGTCAAACATATGCCCTGCTTGACGATGGTGCAGACAAAACCCTGTGTGACGAAAAGCTTATACAGAAGCTGAATATATCTAGTAGGCCAGTTACTTTCCAGATTTCAACTGTTAATTCAACAAGGAACGCAATACACGGAAAAGAAGTGGACCTAACCTATTTCCGGTGAAAGTGAAGTGAAGCTTCACAATGTTTGGACAGTAAAACAATTGCCTATTTCTACGCGATCTGCAGCTACAGCCGATGATATTAGAAATATACCATATTTAAGTGACTTGAATATTCCGAACGTGAACGTTAATGAAGTCATGTTACTAATTGGTACGGATACACCGGTAGCACATATTCCTCTAGAGATACGAAACGGAAGTAGTAATGAGCCATATGCAGTGAGAACGCAACTTGGTTGGGCAGTTCGTGGACCAATACCACGCAATAATTCAAAACATAATAAAACAGACAACAGAAGAACCCCAATTAACATTCATTTCGGTCAGTCAAGTGACGCCATACTACAACAACAACTTGAACGTATGTGGACGTCAGACTTCAATGACGCAACCTATAATGAGAAAAATTCCATGTCAGTTGAAGATAAGAGAGCACTTGGAATTATGGAATCTACACTTTCTCAGGTTAATGGACACTATGAGATGGGATTACCATGGCGACAGGGTGACACAAAATTGCCGAATAATTTAGCGCTTGCGCATGCGCGATTGAATCACCTTAAAAGAAAACTTTCTCGTGACAACGTGTTACATGAGATGTATACCAAAACAATGACAGACTATATTGATAAAGGATTCGCAAAAGAAGTGACAAATAAAGATACGAACTCTGAACAGATATGGTATTTACCCCACCATCCAGTAGCAAACGTGAATAAGCCCGGAAAAATGCGTGTTGTATTTGATTGTGCGGCAAAATATAAAGGTATTTCACTAAATAGTCAACTTTTACACGGTCCTGATATGATGAACAGTCTTGTAGGCGTATTAACCAGATTTCGACAAGAAAAGGTAGCTCTTTCCGCTGACATAGAGGCAATGTTTCACCAGGTACGTGTATGTGAGAAAGACTGTGATGCCCTACGTTTTCTATGGTGGCCTGGTTGGGATTTATCTATAACACCCATGACTTATATATATTAGGACTTGTATCACCTGTGAGAGCCTATGTAGGAAGAAGATAGGGTGGGATGAAACCATTCCGCAGAAAGAAATAGAAGATTGGCAACAGTGGATAGCAAATCTACCATCGTTAGAACAAATTAGTATTGACCGTTGTTTCCGTCCAAATCACTTCAGTAAATTGAAGAACGTACAGCTGCACGTGTTCAGCGATGGCTCAGAGACAGGTAATGGCGCATGTGCATACTTACGATTGACGGATACACAGAATATAATTTCATGCAGTTTTGTTATTGGTAAATCTAGATTAGCACCAATTAAGCAAACAACCATTCCAAGATTAGAGCTGTGCGGAGCTGTAGTGGCATGCCGCCTTTATGCTATGTTGTCAGAAGAACTTGACTTAAAGGTCGACCAAGTTACATTCTGGACGGATTCTATGATATTGCTTGGATATATAAACAACAATAACAGACGATTTAAGACGATTTAAGACATTCGTCGGAAATAGAATAAGCTACATTCACCAGACTACATCCCCTGAGAAGTGGCGTTATGTCGATTCCGGTTCGAACCCAGCTAATAAATGCTTCAAGGGGCATCCATCCAAATGACATTCATGGTCTTAAAATATGGCTAGAGGGACCAAAATACTTATTACAAGATGAATCGACTTGGCCTAAAATCCCACATAAGCTACAAATTGCAGATGATGATTCCGAAGTAAAGAGAGAGATTATTGTTAATACCACCGCATCGTACACAGGACCTCATATAGAAGACCTCATTAACTATTTTTCCAATTGGGCAATGTTGCTTAGAGCAGTTGCTTGGTTACTGAGATTCATAACATATTGCAGACGACATCACTTGACTTTGAATGAACAACCAAAACGAGGAAATCTTACCGTTTCCGAGATAAAGAACGCAACTTACGCTATAGTACGACATATACAGAACTCAAGCTTTAAACAGGAACTGAACGATATTTACAAAGGAAATCGTGTAAAAAGAGACAGTAGATTATCTACATTAAACCCCATACTTGTTAATGGACTAATCCGTGTATATGGAAGAAATACCCATAAAGAATATGATACGTGCCCGATTATCCTTCCGCACGATAGTCACGTGACAGAATTGATTATTCGTCATTACCATAATTCAAACGGACATGTTGGTAAACAACAGGTACTTGCTGAAACACGGACGAAATACTGGATATTAAAGGGACCGTGTACTATAAAGAAAATTATCAGAGATTGTTTTATACGTAAGCGACAACACAGTCTACCTCTTAGACAACAGATGGCACCCTTGATCAAAGAACAGACGACCCCCGATAAATCCCCATTCACCTATGTCGGTGTAGACTACTTCGGTCCTTTGATAGTGAAATCAGGTAGAACTTGTTTAAAAAGATACGGATGTCTCTTTTACTGTCTAACTACAAGAGCAGTCCACATCGAAATAGCACACAGTCTAACAACTGATTCTTTCATAGCTGCTTATCAACGCTTTACAAGTCGTCGAGGGTATCCAGAAAAGCTATATAGCGATAACGGAACGAATCTTGTTAGCGGAGACAAAGAGTTAAAAAGCTCAATAAAACAATGGAACCAGTCTAAAATCGGACAACTTCTTGTGCAACATGATGTAGACTGGCACTTTAACCGACCCTATGCCAGTCACATGGGCGGGTCATGGGAACGCTTGATAAGGTCAACGCGTACTATTCTCAAAGCTGTTGTGAGACAACAACTCCTTACAGACGAAAAGTTATTGACCCTGATTGCCGAAACTGAACGAATAATCAACGATAGACCCATAACTAATGCAAGCAGTGATCCGAGGGACCCACCAGCACTCACGCCAAACATGCTTCTTTTAATGAAGTCTAATCCTTGTTTACCAGTCGGCATTCTTAAAAAGGAAGACATCTATAGCAAGAGATGGTGGAGACAAATCCAATATTTAGCGGACATATTTTGGAAAAGATGGGTAAAAGAGTATTTACCAACCCTACAAGCAAGGCAGAAATGGCAAAGGTAGACTAGAGATGTACATGTAGATGATGTTGTGCTTGTGGTGGACAATAGTGTTCCTAGAAGACAGTGGCCACTAGGCAGAGTAACCGAAGTCATTAAGGGTAGGGATGGGCATATTCGTAAATGTAAAGTTCAAACTAGGGACTCAGCTATGATAAGGCCAATCACAAAGTTGTGCCTTTTAGAATGTTCAGACTAATTATTGTATTACGCTGAAAATATTTCACAAGATTACGTTAATGTTTAAAAGGATACATACTGTGTATTAAATAGATTGTTTTAACATTAGCAAGTACTTTAATATAATGCATGATTTATTGCAAATATAATCATTCTTATGAACATGAAGTTCGTTGCAATTTACATTTTTGTATCGATAATATCGTCACCTTGGCGCAAAAAGTACTGTAACTGACATTTTTGAAATTTTACAGGAGACACAAAAAAACTGATTTGTTCATTTTGAGTAAACCCTTTTAATTCCAGACAATAATGTTGAAAAATCATTAATAAGTACATGTATTATTAAATTGGGTTTAAACATTACAATTATTCATTTATGGATAAAAAGTAATTAGACATTCTTCTTCACTTACATGACTTTTTGCACTGTGATTTTAAACGCAAAAAGTGATGTAAGTGCACTTACCATAGTTTTTGCACTAACTTTAATTTTAAGTATCGAAGTTACTGCATTACATAGACATTGAAAGATGTTTATTACAAACAAATTAATTGTAAGGTTTGTTTAAAATAGGTCTTTGTGGATTATGAACCACATGTAATACATTACTGGGGTCCTACATATTTACCGGACAATCAGTTTACCGGACAAAAGCTATTACTGCTGAATAGTGCTTTATTTGTTGCTTCGATTAAAAAATCATACAGTCTGAATCATTCACACACTTTCTATTTCAAAGTAAATAACAACAAAACCATTCTCAGATAAATATTGTTGATTCAGATCTTTATCTACAAACATGCCCTTTTGTTTTGACCTTGTCATGCGGGGGAATAATCTGTTCTGCGCAGGCCCGAATATGGAGACCCTTAATGATTTTTTAGAAAGGTTTTACTTTTAATTCTTTTCAACGTTACCTCAAGAGACAATTGAAACATATTTTAATGATGAAAGTAATTTTAAATTTAGTCTTAACATTATCTTATTGTTGTCTTTTACAAAGAAGTGCGAACTAAAAAACATATAAAGAAACGGGTTACGCCCATTGGAGGAAACACTACATGAAATGTAAATAAAATTGATTTTATGGCTTTTGTAACATGCTACATGATGACCAAAAGGAAACTGTATGACAAAGAACAGAAGAACAGAATTCCATTTGAATATTAAAATGTTTCATACATTTAAGGATCATGAAGGATCAATACGTTAATTGAGTTAAAAGTGTTAATTTCAATTACACCCTATATATTGGCCTTTTCATAACAGGCATGACTGCTGTGTCTATTTCTAGTGACATACTGGGTTTTTCAAATATCTTAACCTTGCCATTCAATAGTGGTAGTTTCCTTGCTTGTTATTTAAAGATTAATTTCAAATAATGACTTCAAAAAGTTTGAAACATAATGTCCGGTAAATTGAGTTGTTTACACGTTTTTTTCCCTCTTATAATGCCCGACTTTAAAGCCACATTTCTACGGTCAAATGTTTAATTTCATGGTTGATAAAGGAATGTTTACGTGCATTTAGAACCTAGAGTTATATGGGTAAAATTTCAATCTTTTTTATTATTTTAAAAAAAGGTTGCAGATAAAAAACTTCATATTTTGTCCGGAAATAAGTAGGATTCCAGTAAACATATGAAAGGAAGTTTAAAACTGAATATTTTAAAATTAATTTTAAACAGTAACAGGAAATCCAAAGCAGTGTATTTTTTTAATTTCAAAGTAAATGTAAGCATTAATCACAACAAAATTACATGAAAACTGCAGACTCACTTGATTAAGTCTGTACATGAGCAATAATGAAAAGTGCAACATCCCTCACGCCCCCTAGCACGGACTTAAGCTGTACTCAATTTTCAACACTTAAAAGTGATGGAATCAATGATTACAGAGGACCAGAAAAACATAACAACACTGAAGTGAAGTACGTGACAACTTATTAACCATGTTTTTTTACTGTTGTCATTTTCTAATGAGACAGTTTTTTTTATGTATTTGTTATAAAAAGTGGCATTTGGATATATATATACATAATATCTATGTCTCAATAATATCCAACCATCACAGGACTTAGACTTTGAGATTTTGGATAAAACCACTAGGAATCTTGAACTTTTCTGAACATTTTGGTTGGATGTAGTCAATATTTTGGATGAACCTGCTAAGAATCCTAAAGTTTTCTTGTCCAACATATCCCAGTGAGATTCTTTTATATTATATCTCATGAACAGACTTCAAATTTATAAATAACTTTGTTTTCATTGCTTCTTTTTTAAAAAATTTTGATATATTGAATTCAAATTGTCTTATTTCCTGCCACCAAACTTTAAAAATTATACGCCACATCACTATCATGGTTTAATAGCTTTGATTTTATATGAAAATTCAGATTAATTTTTGTGACATAATGTGGTTTGGGTCTTTGAAAATTGAGATTTTCTGTTAATTAAAGTGGTTTACATGCATGACATAGAGAATGAACTGAGTCATTCTAATTTTTGATAATAGACCCCATTCTATTTGTATGAATGTATGGGACTTGTAGATGCACCACATTAAACTTAACATAGTAGCAATTATGGTTTTGACCAATATATTATTAAAACAGATTACATGCCTTTGTCTGCCATGTTTTTATAAAAATTAAAATAGAAAAGATAAACCAATGTTAGCAACTGTTTCTTTCCAGGGCTATAAACAGTGAAATTGCAGTTACATTTTTATAATACAGCTGTCCTTATATAATTCAATAAGAATGTAAATCTTTTAAGCAACTTTTATCTTTATTTTTATAATAAATAATTGAGTAAATAATTGAAAAAAAAAAATTACTTAGAGCTGTCATCAATAGAAAATTGATGTGTATCGTTGATATTTTTTTTTTGATCAGTACACATTTTAGAAAATCGATAATTTTGATTTAATAATTGAATGTCTAGAAATTATGAAAATTCAACCAAAACATAATTATGCAGAAGCATATTTCATGGCAGTGATGACAAAAAATTGTTAGCAAAAATCATGCAATGGGCATTTGTTTGAAACAGGACACATTTATGAAAAGACCATGTTTTTACTGAAAGCATTTAAACAATAATGGAAAAGAATTAATAGACAAGTAGTACTAATTATCAATATATCTTTGTATCATCAAAATTAATTTCATCTTATATTTGTTTTCCACCGAATCAATGACATAGAGGATATTTGTTTGTTTGTGTGTAAGATGAAATTTTATTTCATCGAGTGGGCTTTAAAAACAGTATTCTCACGAGTGGCGTAGCCACGAGTGAGAATACTGTTTTTAAAGTTCACGAGATGAAATAGAATTAAATCTTACACAACAAACAAACAAATTTTCTTTTTATTTTATGCTAAAAAACAAGTTTAAACGAAATTTTCATGACATTAACGTAAATATTAAAATCTGTTTTACCCATTGAGAGCCCCATTTAGTCGGAATTTCTCATTAAAAACAAGAAGTCTTGAGCTGCAAAATAAGTCCGACAATCAACGTTAAATGACAGTGATATTATTTATTTTGTTAAAAAAATATGAATGATCGCTTGTTTTAATAATAAAAACAAACAATTCTTGTAGGAGAAAAATTCAAACCATCCATCCATATTTCTGTTACTTACTGCGTATTTATATTAGACCTGGCTTTGTTAAATGTAAGCGGCAGCCATTTTTTAAAGTTGTGTATTTCACGGGAGGAAAATAATTGTGTTTGATTCAGAGGGATATCATTTGGATTTGTTAGTCATACACCTTTTTAAAAGAAAGAAAACATATTTGAGGATTGAAACAGACAAAAAATAAGTGTTGACAGATGTGAAAACATTCAGAAAAGGAGCTTGGAAAATGGAAAACTTGGAAGCTTGCTCGGAACGCTGGGTGGTTTAATTGTTCTACGAGGTGATAGCTGTCATTGCTTTTCAATTTTTCATAAAGCGTACGGCAGTTATTGCTCGTAGGATACTTTAATGTGCCCAAATGTCATCAAGAGCAGTTTGCATGTGGAAGTAATGTATTTGTCAGACTGTAAAAATGAAACAAAAAATTTAGAGATGAAATTTGGTGATTGGAATTTGAATGAATAGAAGTAAGTTTTCTTCTTTTTATTACTTTTGACGTTTAAGCTGATTATCAATTTCAGCTTTGCTTTTTCTTTAAACAGCCTGATATTGTCAGAATTGTCAGTAAAAATAAAATTGAGGTACCACATGGGGAAAATCTTAAAAAAGTAGTTTCGTCATTGAAAAAAGTGAAATTATATTTTGATAATTTTCACTGTGAAATTATCAAATATAATTTTCACGGATAAATCAGTAATCCACTGAAAAGCATAAAATAAAGCTCTTATATTACTTGAATCATTTAAAAATATCAAAAAAAAATTGAGTGCTGAAATATTCCTAGCTATATTGTTTGTTGTTAAATTAAAATAAAACACTTTTTTACAGTTAGTTTCCTGAAGTAGATTTATATATAAAATTTGTATTTTAGAAATAATTTTGCTATTTATTAACCCATTACTTCATGAGCATTTTGTGAAAAATGGCTGTTTTCATTGAAAAGTCTCCCGTTACAAGTTCAAATTGCTATAATACTATAAAAACTGCTTCAACACTAATCAAACTTGTCACAAATGTTGACTGGACCATTGCCCTTGCAACAACATGCTCAGGTTTAAATTTTCTGTTACCATGGCAACGAGGGGATATCTCAAAATTGCCAAAAATCACTATTTTGCGTTGATTTTTTCCATCATAATTGATTTCAAAGTGCTGCAACTTCTCAATGGATTGAGAT